GCCAGAGGGTACGCCCAATGAGTGCACGCCGGCTAACGTAGCGGGCACGACTCGGACGTGGGGACGAAAGCGACATCGTTTAGGACTCAGTGTCTTCACTAGGGAGACGTCACCTGTCTTTGTAACTTTTTGATTCTTTCGAGGAAGGTCTCTTATTATATAAAGGAGACCTTCACATTGTAAAAAGGGGACTCTGATCTAATACAACTCTCTCATTTTCTGTCTCTCTCTCTATCTCTACCTCAAACGAACATATCTTGTTAAGTTCATATTATCACTTTGCAATACCAGATCTACAACAATAATATCATCTTTGCATCTCTAGGTTTATTATATTTGATTACGATTTACCCTTTTCTTACTTTCGATTGTTTTCTAGCTTACAAAGTATATTGCTAACTTTTGAGCCAAACATTTGTTTAGGCAATTCATACATCCATACATAGTGTTTTGATCTAAGATTTCAATTCTTCTGTATTTTAGCAGTAACATATTCTCTCCATTTAGTAAATGAGATCGAAGGCTAAGATAATACAAGGATGATAATAATAATACTATCGATTTGAAAAACACGAGGAAGACAGAAACAACTGGGTTCAAAATCATAGCGACGACAAAAATATTTATCTCTTTTTATCTGTTCATATTTTAATAGATGGAGTTACTCAATACTTAGAGGGCGTTTGGACATAAGAATTGCAAAATTCCAAAAAAAACAGTAAAAGTTTTTTTCAAGTGAAAATGATATTTGAAAATTAGAGTTGTGTTTGGACATGAATATATTTTTGGCTTGTTTTTGAAATTTTATGAGTGATCTGAGTGAAAATTTTGAAAAATAGTTTTTTGGAGTTTTCAAATATTTGAAAATTTTCAAAATGCATATTCAAGTGAAAATTAGAAATTTTATGACTAAACACTAATTTCGGAAAAAAGTGATTTTTTTTAATGTCCAAACGGGCTCTTATAATCGCAAACTAGCTCGGATATTACAAAAACACAGAATTTCGTATTTATCAATCTATTTTATCAATCGTCATGTCCTGAATTTGGTATACACTTTTTCCAATATAGATGTGTCATGTCAATTGTGATTAGTGCTACTAATCCCAATGCCTTATTCTTTTTAACTCAGTCTTTGCTCATTTCTATTTCCTCCTATTGCTACTGGTGGCAATTTTCAAGGCCACTGCAATATACAGTTTCTTGACGTGGCATGACTTGCATATATCACTAAGATTTGACTGTCCATCATATTTTTGACTGATTGCATTGCATTGTATCTTTCGATTTAACTATACAATATTTGAAATTTAATGACTTATAGATTATGGGTACAAGTCGTGAAATCAGCCACTAATATTTATATTACGGTAGGTTCTCTACATCATACCTCTTGAGGTACGATTCTTTTTCGAACTTGCGTGAATGCGGAATACTTCGTGTACCGAACTACCTTTTTTTAATGACCTAATTAATTAAAATTCGTGCCAATAAGTTTTCTAAAGAAATAAAACTCTATCTATCGAAAAGTTCATTTCCTAGACTCGAATTCGGGACCTCTAATTAAAAATAGAGGTACGTTAGAGTGATTTCAATCATCCAAGTGTTGAAGCTTATGGGTTTGATTTAAAATTAATAGATTTTAAATTAATAATTTATATATATAAATGCATTCTTATGTGTTCGTAGGAAGGAGAGACGGTTGGCATCTCCCCTGACAGGGACGGGAACAGTCTTCGGACTCTACTTGTTATCAAACACATCCGGTTAAGGCTTCCCACTTCGGTGGATCTTACCCAATTTTTTACAGTTGACCAAAAAAAAATGGATTCTTATAACAAATATAAAATTTGAACGAAAATTTCCGAATTAGATCGAACCTGCACATCGATTGCTAGCTCGACCCTTGCATCCAACACATTCTTGGTGGCGGGAGAAATTAAAAATAGCCAGATTTATATGTGGTCATTCAAAAATAGTTACAGTTTCAAAAGTAATAGAAATTTAGCCACTTTTTATGTAAAGATAAATCTGAACGAAAACACTGTACAAAATACGGAAAAATACTCCAGTATAATATACTGGAGTTCCAGTATAATATATCGATCCAACATAATATATCGATCCAGCATAATATCCTATATTATACTAGAACAATTCGCGTGTTGGAGTTCCAGCATAATATGCAGGAAGTTCATACATAGGTGCACCGATCTCCAGTATATTATGCTGGAACTTCCGTGTTGCAGCAAAATAGTGGCTATTTTTCAATGACTTTGCAAACGTTGACTATTTTTGAATAAACAGTCCGAAAACTGGCTAGCCCGTGCTATTTTTACCTTGTGGCATATCTAGTTTTATCTACTAGCCATTCCCATCAAATGAAAATGAACTTGAACTTGAACTTGATATATGGCCTACGTAAAGATACATAAGTCACAAAGGGAATAAAAGTAGTCATTTCGTTGTAATACTTTCTTAATATGGTAAGTTACTTGAAGCTTAGAATAATTATGTACTGGATTATCACCATATCATAAAAAGAATTAAAGATGCATAATCAGTTGAGGAAGACAAGTAAGAGGAGTAATTGCACTAGGAATTAGATGTGCATTTATTGGTATAGGCCTATAGGACAAAGATGTTTGACCAAATCAGTGGAGTTAAAGCATAAAAGCGATTCCACATTTTTCGTACCATAGTACACACTTCAGATACTGACATATCATTTACTGCTTAAATGGGCCTCAAAATTTTTACTAAACCCACATAAAAGAGTAAAAATAGCACGCTTTAGCCAGTTTTCGGATTTATAATTGAAAAATAGCCAACGTTTGTAAAGTTATTGAAAAATAGTCACTATTGTTAAGAAATTTTTTTTTTTAATATTTTAATATCTCAAAAAGAATATTTACAATCATGTCTAGGTTCATTATATTAATATAATATTAATGAGTCTTAATACAAATGTAACTGATGAAATATTTTTTAATTACAATTTGAAAACAATAAAACTGAACCTTTTATTCTTCATAATCATCCAATTTTTTCCAACAACTATTTTGCCGAAACACGGAAAGTTCCAGCATAATATACTGGAGATTGGTGTACCTGCGTATGAACTTCCAACATATTATGCTGGAACTCCAACACACGGAAGGTTCCAGCATAATATACTGGAGATTGGAGCACCTGCGTATGAACTTTCAGCATATTATGCTAAACCAGTATATTATGCTAGAACTCCAATATATTATGCCGGAAATCCAGTATATTATGCTGGAATTTCAGTATATTATGTTGGAACTCCAGTATATTATGTTGGAATATTTTCTTGATTTTGAACAGTGTTTTCGTTCAGATTTATCTTTACATGAAAAGTGGCTAAATTTTGATTACTTTGAAACTGTGACTATTTTTCAATTACTACTTGTAAATCTGACTATTTTTTCATTTCACCCTATAAAGGAATCATATCAAATTTGTTATTGTACAATTTGAAATTGAATAATTTTGACATTCGTTACTTTTGATCTAATATTACATTCACTAAAAATGTCTCATTTTAACTCTTGACCACTCATGAAACTCAAATTTAAGCGTAACTCTAACTTATAGTTAAAAACTGAGTAAATTTGTTCTTTTACTCGAATTATCTGTATGCGTGAAGTACACTTATTTCATGTTGAAACATCATTAACAAATAGCGACAACGGTATAAATAGACCCAAAATGTAAGAAAGGGAAAAATTGAGCAATTTCAAATAGAACAAGATCAAATTTAAACCCTTTTCAAGAATAAAGAAAAAAAGGTACTCCCTCCGTTCACTTTTAGTTGTCAACTTTTGACTCTCCACTCCCTTTAAGTAAAATAATTTAAGTATAAATTTTATAATTTTACCCATAATAATGATATTATTTTTTAAAATCTTGGGAAATAACTTGGGGAATGAGTAGTTAATGATAAGAGTAAAAACAAGAAAAAAAAGATTGTCTTTCTCTTGATTTAATATAGCGGGCTAGTAAAAGTGATAAAAATATTTTTAGTATAGTGAACAAGTAAAAGCGAAAGGAGGGAGTAAATGATAAAAATTCGACTAGGCTAATATGATTTGGGCTATATTTTCACCAACTTGTTGATGGGAGAAATTAAAAAATAGCCATATTTACAAGTGGTCGTTCAAAAATAGCCCAGTTTCAAAAGTAATCGAAATTTAACCACTTTTCATGTAAAGTTAAATCTGAACGAAAACACTGTTCAAAATCTGGAAAAATACTCCAGCATAATATACTGGAGTTCCAGTATAATATATCGGTCCAGCATAATATACTGAAGTTTGGAGCACCGGTGCTCCAGTATATTATACCGGAGCCAGCAAAGTATACCGGTCCAGCATAATACGCTGGAAGTTCATACACAAGTGCACCGAACTCCAATATATTATGCTGGATCGGTCTCTATTGCAGCAAAATAGTGGCTATTTTTTATTGACTTGGTAAACGCTGGCTATTTTTGAATGACCAATCCGAAAACTAACTAGACCGTGCTATTTTTACCTTGTTGATTAGTTGCTGTTGGTTCTGTTTTCTGACTGAAGTAGTCATAGTTTTGGGCTCTTATGGAATTGCATTTGAGGTATTATCACTTTTAGCCACGCCAAAAACTATTTACATCTGGTAGCTGAAAAATTATATAAAACTTGTATAATTTTTATATATAACATACATAATATACATACATATATATATATATGTATATATATATATCCAAATTTTATACATTTTTTCGGCTATTATTTTTACAACGGCTATACAGTGTCATTTTTCCAATTGCATTACCCTCCAATTCCAAGCACAGAGCCATATGTCAATGAAAGAAAGTCTTTTCACCCTAATCTCATCGGGCGGGTATAGCACGTTCATTTTTAGGACACATAGGCTATTACAGACGCATCAAAAAAAGACTTAGAAACACAAAATCCCAAAATGGAAATCAGCAGTTGGAAATCAGAACATGATTAACCCTTAATAATGCAGATAAATATTTGCTGCTGCAGCAGCAATCCTCCAGTTTCAGGATTGGAAAAAGGAAATAACTAGTCTCTCATATGATACTTCTTTCACTTCAGAACCGTTTCTGTCATAGTAAAAACTTTCTTCAACTTGGAATAAAAAGGTGCAATATTTGATTATACAGTTTCAAGGGTAGGGAAAATATTATAGATGGTAATTTGAAGCATTTAGCTTTCAGTCCTCCAAAGTCCCCTGATTAGACAGTGGATAAATTACATTCCACATCTTTTTTTTTTTTTTTCAAAATCACTTAGTCGTGCCGTTTCAGGCACCGCTTGCATACAGGCGGGTCCATTCTTTAGCTGCAGGATTGGAAGAAAAAAAAAAGGTTAAGCCAAGGACTGATGGATGATGTAACTACATATTGACAAGACCAAGTGCCTTCAATTTTCGACTGATAGAAAGAGCGGGAAGGCAACTTACCCGTTTCAACAGCTTCAGCCTCATTCGACTTCCAATGCTTCGCAATGTTCTCAGAGAGTGGATCATCTGGATTTGGTGCACTCAGAAGTGCTTGAATGCTGAAAAAGGAACCAAGTTACTAACATTCTAGCGCCTTAAGCCAAAATTTGGTGCTCATGTTCAAGAAGTTCATTAGATCCTCGGGAAGAGCATGAACAAAAGTATATGAATAATATCCAAGAATACTCTGTATTTAATACCTCAAAAGAACGGTACGAATCTGAAGAGCAGGACTCCACTTGTCCTTGAGAATATCAAGGCATATCCTACCAAGCTTCATAAAAAATTGGCCCACGTGAGCGGGGTAGCTTGTGACTTAAATCTATCTATAACATAATCGAGTAACAGAACAAACCTTATCAATGTTGGGATGGTATATTTTGGTGAGAAATCGAACCTGTTACAGCATGCAACTTGATCAATGACAGAATTAAAAGCGGCAAACAAAATAGCCAAACTTAATTCACGTTTTAATCCATAATGCAAGCATGCACACAAGCATATTATCTCTACAGTCATTATGTCCGATCGTACATGTTACATAGTGGTAAAAGCCCATGAATTATCCAGAAAGGGCAAGCCTCATGCAAAGACCATGAAAGACTAGGTCCAGGAAGAAGCTTCACATCCAGAAACTCTACCATGTAAAACACTTCCCTACAATTGACCAACTTACATCTATTTTTCTGTTTCTTACGATGCTGATACTATTTTTTTGGCTTCTATTGCTGTCACTGATCTATTGTCTGTTGTCTATTGTTTATTTTCTTCTTCTTGAGCCGAGGGTCTTTCGGAAACAGCCTCTCTTTCCCTCCGGGGTAGGGGTAAGGTCTGCGTACACTCTACCCTCCCCAAAACCCACTTGTGGGATTTTATTGGGTTGTTGTTGTTGTATCTACGCTAGGATAAATCTGATTACTATTCAGCTTTTACCAGCTGTACCAAAACTGTATCAGTTTTTCAACTCAGTTCCTAAGAAAGGAAATCTGAGGGATACTTATAGTAATATGAGCTAAACCAATAAATAGTAGCCGCGAAGTTCATGAAAGACTATCATCTTTAAGTTCCAACTAAGAGACCACTAGCTACAACTGTCCCAAGCAAAGATTGTAACCAGTAAAATCTCAGTCAACAGTTACAATTGTTGATAGACAATCAAACTATACTTAGGAAGAAAAGTTAAACAGAGCCTGAAAGACTATGTCAAGAATACAAACCAATTGATCTAATGAAGTTTCAACTATAAACTTCTGATGAAAGAACAAAAAAATACGACTACATCCACTATTAGGGTCATCAACAATTTCCCGGATTTTGTTGATCTACATAAATTTGTGCAGTGCTAACTTGTGTAGAAGTGAGATTAAATTATTAGGAAAAAATTTCACAACGGCATTTGTACGGTTAACAAAAGTAGAAAATATTTAATATTACCTTTAATCATAGTACTTATTTTCCTAGTATTAACATTAGCCAGAACTCATAATTTCATTTAGACCAACTTCCAGATAGCTCAAGTTTGAAATACAACCCACTGATGGTGCACATAATTGGGGAAAAAAAGAAGCGAAGAGCAAAAGATCAGTACATCTAGAAGAGCAGCCATAACTTGTACCAAATTAGTGTGACATAGTCCCAACGCATACAATCATGTCAATATATTTATTGTCATGAGCTATATTATCCATGCGATACACATTGATATTGAAAGTTTATTAGCAAATAATATGATCGAGTTACAAAGTCTAAACCTGCAAATATACTTAAATTGAATATTTAGGTATTAGTACACAATGATGAAAATGATTGAGATGGTAAAACTATAAAAGCAGCTAAGTTTGAAAAGTTTAGATTCAAATGTAGAAAGGCGCATCAGGAGACTTTAAATGTTAAACGCAGACGTTAAGGAGGTTGCAGTTAATGCTTCCTGATCAATCAGTCAAATCAAACTCCATACAAATGCAAGCAATATAATTACGGAATATGCAATTAGAGAAGCCTGTCTGAGACTCTGAGAATCTGCTGAAACTTGCCAAAACATCCATTAATGTGTTCAAATACCTTCGGAGCAGCCATTGGGTACTCTTCAGGCAAAAAGAGTTCCAGTTTGAAAACACCTCCTACACAAATTCATCAAGCAGGCGAAATTAAGCAAAGAAGATTTCAGCAAAAGAAAAAGAAATTACCAGAGGCGAATCCATAATTTGGGTTCTAAATTCTAGAAAGGGCAACTTACTGAGTTCTGGATAAATTATTTACACATATTAAATGGATTTCTTAACACAAATACAGAGTATTGGCCAGAGCTAGTGGGTTCTGCAGAGCCCGTCACTAGAACTCTAGCTCTGTCTGTACTTAGCATAATTGTCATAATTGATCGAGCAAATTACCTTCATAAGGAGATTGTGTTGGACCAAGAATCATGACATTGAAGTATCGCATATTTTCTTCCGAAGGAGACGCACTTATTCCCGGCGCTGCAGTTAAATTTAAACCACACTAAATTCTTTTAATTTCTTAGAAATAGAGGTCGCAAACCAACCGAACCCAAAATCTAATAAACAAATTTGCGATAAACTTCAAAGGAAATAACACTTGCTTGTACCAAAATTAACAAACGAAATCACACCTTCTATATACAGAGATTTACAAACTTTTGAATTAATGAAAGGAGTAAAAAAGGTTCATGTAATTAAGAAAAATAACTGTAATGCTTCAAAGTATATTTGAATATTCAGGGAAAAACTGAAAATTGCATCTCGGATGAAAAGCAGAGGAGAGAAGAGGTTCATGTAGTTAAACTGTTAAGGAAATGACTTTATGCTTCAAAATGATATCTTCATTTTTAGTATCTTCTAAGCACAATATAATTGGAGACAAAGTCGATAATTGTTCGGTAAGAATTATTAAACAACAAGAACCATGCCTAAATCCCAAACTTGTTGAGTTCAGCTATTAGAATACTCTATATCCATTCTGCTCTATCTAGGTGGGATTCAAGTTAGTGTTATCTAAAGCGAAAAGCGCAAAAAAGCTCTGTGGTCTGTTGGGGCTTTAAACGCAAAGCGCAAATAAAGCGTGGGCTTTAATGAAGAAAGACGCAAATACGGACAAATAATGTGTAGTCCAAGACTAATATCGATAAGCATGAATACCAAATATACGAACAAATAAATTGAAGAAAATTTACGATAAAGTGAAATATCAATTATTTAGTGTCACCTCTTCAGGATTACGCTCATCGGCAAGGAAAAGTATGCCTTAGAGCCTTGATGATAACACTGAAGCGCCAACTAAGCAAGGCGAAGCGCTCAACATGTTTTGAGCCTCGCTTCTGGGCTTAAGCACGCCTTTGATAACACTGATTCAAGTACTCAATAAGTTCTGTTTCGGGAAAGAAATACTCTCTCCGTCTCAATTATGTGGCGCTATTTACTTTTTAGTCGGTCTCCAAAAGAATGTCACTTCTCTTTATTTAGAAACAAATTATCTTTCAAATTCCTACTTTATTCTTAATGAATTGATTTTCAGCCACACAAATATCTTTTGACTTATGGTTTGGTTTAGACCACAAGTTTTCAAAAGTCTTCCTTTTTTTCTTAAACTCCATGCGAAATCAAATAGTACGCCACATAAATTAGGACAACCGGAGCTAATACATGGCTTCCGTAGAGATGTAATTATATTAACTGCCTCATTTTATGCGACATTCTTTTCTTTTTAGTCCGTCTAAAAAAGAATGACACATTTATATATATATATTTAAAAACAATTTAACTTTATACTTTCACATTATACTCTTAATGAATGAGATTATTTGAAGTGTCACAAACATCACTTATTTTATTTAGATCATAACTTTCAAAAGTTTTTTTCTTTATTAAACATCATCACATAAATTGAATTAAGTACAGAAATTTAGGGGGCGAATTACCGGGTTCGCTGAGAAGACGTTGAGTTTCCTGTAAAATCACATAAAACCAAAATTCAGCAAAATTTAAACTGAATCGAACTCTGAACAGCGAAAAATAGATCAAAAACCCTAACTAAAGGATTAATAAAAAAAAGAACACAAAGATCAAAAGCTAAAACAGGAAATTAACCTTAATAATTCTTCGAGGAAGATTGCTGTTGGCCATTGAATTGAATCGAATTTTTTTCCTTTTTTTTTTGGTCGCAGAAACTTTACGCTAAGGGGCTCGTTTTTTCTAGAGAGAGAAAGTAGAAATGCTAATAGAGTTTCACACTCTTTCTCTCACTAAAAACCTGTGCTTAATAGGGTTCCATTGAAATTCTTCTTTTTTGCCTTTTTATCGTGCCTTTGTATTATTGTTGCGAATAAGTAAAGATTCTGTCCCCCCAAAAAAAATAAATGTTTTCCCACTGAAATTATTAGTATTTGATTAAACAAATTGATATTTGATAGTTGACTGTAAAAACTAAAAAACAAATATATTTCAGTAAAAAAATGCTTGCATCAACAAGATTAACATTGTTGATTTATCTTATAATTTTTAAAATATCGTGTCATTTCTATAAGACCAATAAAAATAAAATGAGAAAATTAAGCTTTAGAATTTTTCAAACATAGAAAGGTAAACATTTATTTGACAGGACAAAACAAGGAAAAAATATTATGTAAAATGAAAAGGAGGTATATGTTGTGCGTTTTATATTTTTTGCATTAATTAAATTATGTGTTATAAGTCTTCAAATTCAATTTGATGACGAATCAATTAGGGGCGAATAATAAATTTAAGATAGAAGAAGCATGTTATCTTTTAATTGCATTATTTTTATCTTGTTTTCTCATTCTTTTCTGATAGTCAAAATTAGGTAAATCACTAGAGATCTCGGATTTAAGCACCGGATATGATTCTTGATTGGAAGCGCTTTACTTCTTAATAATCCTAAATGACGAATTCTCTTGATCAGACTCGTTAATTCCGTAGCTCCGGGAGTAAGTTCAGAAAGTTCGCTTTAGAAATAATTTCATGCAAATATTAATTATTTTTTAGTAGATAGTAAGAGTAGCTAATTTCAACTCAAGAACCAATTTTGATAACAACTACCCAGTTTGTCAACGTTGCAAGTTCGTGATGTCTATTTAAGTATATTTTGACCACTTTCATTGGTTGACTACAAGCTAATAAGGACAATTTGTTAGTGCAACCTCAGATGTTACTCCATTTTGTGACAATATGTCGTATATATATGAGTCGATTTAGTTCCATTCATTCATCTCATTCTTTACTAGCCACTGCCAGCTGAGCATTAAATTATTAGAGGTGGATTTAAAGGGGAGTCTCTATTCACTAATTCAAGTACCTTGGTTTATTATACATGGGAATAGAGAGATTGACGAGGATGTCACACACGTATTGGGGCGGGATGGATGAAATTGAGGCTCGCTTACGGTATTTTGTGTGATAAAGATGTGCCATCAAAACTTAATGGTAAGTTCTATAGAGCGGTTGTCAGACTAACTAATATGCTGTATGGCGCGGAGTGTTGGCCGGTCAAGACGTCCCATGTCCACAAGATGAAAGTGGCAGAGATGAGGATGCTGAGGTGTATGTGCGGGCATACCAAGTTAGATAAAATTAGAAATGAAGTTATTCGGGACAACGTTGATGTAGCCCCTGTGGAAGACAAAATGCGGGAGGCGAGACTTAGACGGTTCGGGCATGTGAAGAGGAGAGGCACTGATGCTCCGGTGAGGAGGTGTGAGAGGTTGGCATGGGAGGGCCAACGGAGAGGTAGAGGCAGGCCGAAGAAGTATCGGGGATGTGATTAGGCAAGATATGATGTTGCTTCAGCTCACTGAGGACATGACCATGGATAGGAAGGTGTGGAGGTTGAAAACTAAGGTAAAGAGTTAGGTGGTCGAGTGTTGTCCTTGTTTGTAGCAATAGCTTTGATACACTACTTGGTGCCTTCCGTATTTATTTTCGTACCCTAGTCTTCTGTTACTACTTGTTGTTGTCTTGTGTTTTGGTTTTCTGATTGCATTACTTTTTCCTAGTTTTATATTTTTGCTTTGGTTGTCAGTTCGGTTTGCTTGTTATTGTCCCTTCCCTCTCCCCTTCCTGAGCCGAGGGTCTTCCGCAAACAGCCTCTCTGCCTTTCTAAAGGCAGGGGTAAGTTCTGCGTATTCTATCTTCTCTAGACCCTACTTGTGGGACAATACTGGGTATGTTGTTATTGTTGTTTTCAGGAAAATCCGCAGCCACAATTTTACGGGTACGAACTGGGTAACCTGTTCACTAGCTCGCAAATCACACAAAAGATGTAAACCGCCCAAAACAAACCCAGTACTATGTGCTCTAACTGAAAAGATTGCTAGTGAGAAGAGTCAGATCTCAGATCTCCTATATGAAAACTACTCACCTAACCAAGGCAACCAGCCTTGCGGGCACATTTGCACTTGTTATTACCGAAAAATGTCGTATGCATAAAGTATTCTACTACGTTCGACAGAAAATCTTGGATATGAACATTCTTAGATCCCAACATTTCTTTGTCTTGCACGCCTGGAGAACAAATGCTCCAATTTTTTAATTATTATTTTAACAATGCCAAACTTACGGAGATATGTCAGGGGCGGCCCAACGAATTTTGTAGCCTAAAACCAAATTTTATGAGGGCCTTAACTTTTTTTTTTCTTTAAAAATTATTTATTTATTTGAAGTCTATTTTTCTAGCGTTCGTAGATACAAAGTTATTAATAATTTTTATAATCTTTAGCTCCCAATAAGTCTTTCGTAATTGACAGTATAACTAATCTATTTTGATCTTTATTGAGACATTGTTGATCTTAGGTGAGATTTTATCAATTTTAATTTTTGAATTTTTTTTTCTGCTGAATCGATGGAAATAAGAGTTATTAACATTATTCCATAAGCAATATAGGCATTGGTATCAATTTTTTTTATTTCCCCGAGTGTTCAATTAAACTGTTATCTTCTAATTGTACTATTTTTCTTAATATTTTTAATTCCGGAAATAAATCTAAACCATCAATATCGAATTGATTATTAGCTTTAAAAACATTCAAGATTAAGGCAATATTTTTTCAAATTTCCATTAGCTAGTGATCTTAATTTTTACCGCTAAATAGAAAACCAAAAATATTTTCCTATGCTTTGATTGTTCAAATCTTGTCACGACCCGAATTTTCCACCGTCGGGACCGTGATGGCACCTAACTTTTTGGATGCTAGGCAAGCCAACGATTAAAGATTTAATACGATAACCCTTGACCAAATCAGTAAATAACAGCAATTAAACCAAAACAGATTAAAGAGTGCAGAATTTCATAATAACCCATATACTTATACACAACTACGCAAAAACTGGTGTCACAATTCACGAACTTCTAAGAGTCACTACAAATACTGGCTAAAAGAAAGTACAACTATCTTTGAATTAAAAGAAACAGTAAACTAGAATAACTGGAAGGGGACTCCAGGGTCTGCGAACGCCGGCAGATCTATCTTGGGTCTCCTGTGGGTCTGAAAGCAGCAACTCAACTCGGGTCAACACGGTCCAGTACCGAAATCTGTACAGAAAGTGCAGAGTGCAGTATCAGTACAACCGACCCCATGTACTGGTAAGTGCCGAGCCTAACCTCAGCGAGGTAGTGATGAGGCTAGGACAAGACACATACATAAACCTGTGCAATTAAACAATATGCTAGCAGAATAACAATTTATAGAAGCTAAGCGGAAATGAACGGGAGGGGGAAACATGCTATGGGTGTACCAAAAATAATCACAGCAGTAGAGGAATTTAAACAGCTAGCACACTTTGAACCGGTAATAACAAGTAAACACAATAAACGGAAAATGCACGGCATCACCCTTCGTGCTTTTACTCTCAACCAAACCAGATAATCAATAATAGAAACGTGCACGACATCATCCTTCGTGCTTTACCACTCTTCCTCACCACATAAGTAATAGAAACGTGCACGACATCACCCTTCGTGCTTTATCACTCTTCTTCACCACATAAGTAATAGAAACGTGCACGACATCACCCTTCGTGCTTTATCACTCTACCTCACTAGAACAGAGACAACAATAATAGAGAGATAGAAATGGCAACAACAAGTCTTACTTAAACTCTTAGTTCCACAATACCAATCCAACTTTGGGTAAAACCCAATCAATACCAAATTCCATAAAATATGATAAGAAACTTCTCAACACATCGAACGACTAGTCTACACATGAACAATATGATAAAAAAAAATTAAAACATTTCCAAGAATAAGACTCACTCACATGTTATGACTCGACAGCAACATATAGATACTCGTCACCTCACCTATACGTTGTACTCAATATCCAAACACATAGCAAATAAGCAAATAACACCTAATCTCTCAAGCTAAGGTTAGCCATAGCACTTACCTCGATCCACAGGCCACTCACTGCTCAATTACCTCTTTTCCTCTAGTTTCCACCTTCGAACCACTCGTATCTAGTCATAGTTAACTTAATAACATCAATTATTGCTAAAGAAATCAATTCCAATACAAAATTATAAGTTTCCCAACATTTTCCCCAAAAAGTCAAAAAATTGACCCCGGGCCCGCTTGGTCAAAACTCGAGGTTCGGACCAAAACTCATTCTCCTATTCACCCCCGAGGCCAAATATATAATTAGTTTCGAAATTCGACCCCAAATCGAGGTCTAAATCCCATTATACAAAAATTCCTAATTCTACCCAAACCCCCAATTTTCACCATGAAAATCCTAGATTTTAGGTTGAAAATTCATGAAAGGTGGGTAATTGGAAGAAAGTAGTTTAGAATCATTTACCAACAATTTGGGGAAGAAATTGTCTCTTGAAAATCGCCTCCAAGTCTTCTAGTTTTTGAAAATATGAAAGAATGGCTTAATCCCGTATTTGAGTTCTGTTTTTAAAAGACTGGGCAGGCCTTCTTCGCGTTCGCGAAGGGCCTACCGCGTTCGCGAAGAGCTGCCTTGCTTAGGCTTACGCGATCGCGAATTCCTCCACGAATTCGCGAAGGTTATGCCCCCCTGGCCTTCGCGTTCACGAACCATTGTTCGCGTTCGCATAGAAGGAATGACCGACCTCCCCCAAGTCCCTAACACTTCCCGTTTGCGTTGAGCTTGTCGCGTTCGCGAAGGGTAAAGCCTCCATCGCTCCTCGTTCGCGACCAAGTCTCCGCGTTCGCGTAGAGGAAATTCCTCTTCAGACCAATTCACTCATCGCGTTCGCGAGAGTAACTTCGCGAACGCGAAGAAGAAAACACCAGATGACAGCT